CGATGGTTTTCAACCAGTTGATGGTTAAAAAAAATCCCGTGAGATTGGTGAGCCAGCTCATCTTGGTAGATGAGTCTCTATCCTTTATAGATATCATCCAGAAGGGATGTGTTGTGAGGAGAGTTATGTTTCCAGTGTTGTGGTGAAGGCTTTATGGATTATTTTTTTATGTCAGCATTTATTAATGGGTGGCAGCTGGATGGAATTACTGGCTCATTTCCTCATTTCTGTTGTAAAATATAATCTTTTTATGTTTTCCTTTTGTAGATCACGTAAAGATAACAAACGAGTGTATAAATAAGCGGCATGATCCAAGAGATGGGGGGATCTCTTACTCTGGTAAGAGTTTGAAGTCAAGCTTCCATTTTGTCACGTGATTTCAATTACAACGACTTTTTTAACATACCCTCTCTCCCCCCTTTTCCAGGTCCTAAGGGTGAGTTAATGTTTTTCTTACGTCTCTAAACCTACAGCAGAATGTTAACTCTCTTTTAGGGCAGTAAGAATTGACTGATTTCACCCCACATATTACATTTCTAACAGGATTTTCAGGAACCCCCACAGATCATGAAAGAGCTGTAGTGTTTCTACATGGTGTATTTTGAATGAATTCACTTTATCATTTTATGGTTAGATGCAGCCGTGAAAGTCTTCTGGGTTAACAAGACCTCTTTTTTTCGTTAGCCTCTGCAGGTGTGAAGCTCCGAGCTGGTGCAGAGGTCACCGCTGGACTATCAGGACTAGTGGACATGATTGACACCTTTGACCGTCCTGGTAGGGCCTTTGCTTGTGACACCTATGCAGGTACATCTACATATGCTCATGGACTGGAGAACAAAACTGGAAAGCGCATTCCCAAAGCAGGAATATGTGCTGAGGCCGGAGTGGGCCGCGCTAAAGCTGAATGGAGCATCTGTGAGGCTGAGGCTAAAGGCCCAAACGCCGCAGCAGGTCTGGGAGCGTCCGCAGGGACGCTGAGTGCTTCAGCGTTTGCCAGAGCGGAGGTGGCCAGTGCCTCGGCCTCTGCCGGGCCAGTGACAGCTAAAGTGGGTCTGTCAGTCGACACGGGGGCAGAGATCGGTCTGACGGGCGTGGAGGCTAAGGTGCTGGGAACCGGCTTTTCCTTTGGTCGCAAGATGGGCGTCTCGCTGTTTGGCAACGAATTCAGTTTCAAGCTGTGGTAGAACAACGTCCCACTTTGGGTTTGCTGTTTTGCTTTGCGGCTTAAGTCTGTACCATCATATATTTACTGCTCACTAACACTTTACACATAACTGATCTTTTGCATTGAGGCCTCCTTTTAGATCATAGAAAGAAAGGTTTGTCTGAAAATAGGGACTATAAATGACTGCTTTATTTTCTCCATCCTTTTGAGTTCACTTCAACAGGTTTGAGATGGAAGATGGCTGGTGTTAAGACTGAGGAGCATCTATGTGTGAATGCTTCCAAACTGGGAGAGAATTTCCATAGATGGTATTTGTTGTTAATGAGGGTGATTAATAATTGTTATGGGTAATATACTTCTATATCCAAAAATATCAGTATATTCAATCTAAAATGAAGACGTTTGTTTCTGTGCCTTTATTGGTGTACTGTATCTTTACAATGTAATACACTTTGTCTTAATCATTTATTAGTAAAAAGAAAACGTATCCTAATAAAGCTGATGTATGATTCTATAATGTACACTGGTGCAGTTATTTAACTCTCTGTGGCACGGTGTTGCCCTCAGGCAGCTTTTTTTTGTGTTCCAGTAAAAACAGTTTGGTCTAAAAGTTGTGTAATGCTGATCATGAAACTTACTCTCCGATTTGTCCTTTACCTCCGCAGCCCGTTTCTCCTGTGAGTGAAACAACACAATAAGAACGAGCAATAATTGACACATTTTTATTCAAAATAATCTTTTTGTTCAATCACATCTTTAACAGAAGTTGTGTTTTTTTACAAATATAGATTTACAAATCATTTTGTTTGCTATGACTTAGCATTGCATACGAAACTCTACTGGACCCTACAAATATAAAGTTTTCCTTTATTGAAGCCTAATGTTTTGTGTGTTATTCCTCGCTAAGAGGCTTATCGATGAAAAACACAGACAAAGAAAGGAGGAAAGAAAACACAAAAGGTTGAAAAACAATACAAACCATCAAACCAAGACTAAAAGGGCTGATCAGCGTTCCCCTTTACAGCGTCACAGAGGGATCACATGGTAAATCCTGTGAAATGCAGATTGAATGAGTGGCTGGTGGGACTCAACTGGGGGCCATCGTCACAGGGACGCAAGAACAGCAGCCCATAGAATCAACACCGCAAATCTCTAATATAGAGAAAAACCTCTGGGAGAATCCTGGAAGAACGGTTGGTTTCAAATATTCAACATGCTGTATGGCAATATTTAGCTTCTTTCATTGACTTTGTCAAAGTTTTTCCCCCTTTTGAAACAAAGGACATCTTTATTCTCCAGCGTAAAGTGCAGCCTTCCACATCTGGATCACAGCTGGCTGTCCTGTATGTGTCGCTCTGGCTGCAACATGCCCTTTCACTGAGATAGAAACGAGCAAAAACCTGCTTTATATTCAGTGATCACGGTGCAATTCAGTGCTTTCAGTTCAAAAACACCATTCTTCCTCAGACGGATGATTGCTAATAAATTAAAGTTGAACCTTAAAAGTTACATGGCCATTTTCAAAAATATAATATCGCAACAAGATGCTTCACATGAGAGAAAATAAATACCATTTTTAAGTTAGTGATAAAACAAAGATTCAGCTTAAAGTAAAAGGCAAAGTGCAGGAACAAGCATGTGCTGCTTTTTTCCTCCCACCTGTGGAAGAAAACGCCCTCAGCCCCCCAGCCTCTTCCCTCCCCCGCATCATACAACCCCCCCGAAACCTTCCTGCTCTTCTACAGCAGATCAGCAGAGGGCCACAGTGGTACCGGTGGAGCGGCAGACTGGAGCAGAATGGTGACCACAGGTCAGCGCCCAGTTGCTGGTTTGCATCCCTAAATGAGACGCCTGCGCCTGAACAAACACGCTTTAACACCCCCACACCTGAAGGCACTTTAACAGACTGGACCAGGAAAGGAAGGATGTCAGGGCAAAAAAAAAAAACTACCAAAAAAACTGTAATTCCCACGTTGACTTAAAGTTCCTGCTGGACAATTCGGTATTTCATGTTCTTCCTTTTGTTGGTTAAAAGTTACCGCAAATTCTGAGAGTTTGGATGAGGAATGTCTGTGGTCGGTGGAGAAATCGTTAAAGAATAAATAAATGTCCACGCATGCGATCAGGATTTGGTCCACAAATGAAGACGGGCAGATGACCTCCAGCTGGTCATCACATGCACACTCCAGACAAAGCTCCTTAACCTGGGAATGGATTTGCATATTTTTCCCTCTACAGTGTAAATCATGAACTTCACCTGGACCCTTTGTCCGTGGTCCGGGGTCTTGATCTCCACCTCTGCAGGCCGGTCTGGGTGGAGCTAAACCTGTGGGCAGCTGCGCCTGGACCAGTGGACCGACGGACCCGTGTCCCCGTCACAGTGTGGCCGCGGTCAGATGGGGGGGGGGCGCCGCTACACCTGCTGCTGCTGCACCAGCCGCCTGTAGTGGGCCATGACCTGGCTCTCCGGGAGGTAGAGCGCCATCTCCAGGGCGACCAGAATGGTGAACTCGAAGGAGATGAGCTCCCTCCGGCCGATCCTGAAGCGCTCCTCCAGCTTCTGCAGAGACACCGCCGGCCGTCACGCGTCTGCGGGAGACCTCTCCGGGCTCCGCGTGTGTGTGTGTGTGTGTGTGTGTGTGTGACTCACGTCTATGAGGTGTTTGACCTCCTGCTTCTTCAGGTCGCTGCTGATCTTGGCGGCCAGCAGGATGCAGGCGGCCGACACCAGCTTCCTGTAGGACATCAGCAGTGTGAGCGGCTGAGTGCCTCTCAGGAACACCAGGAGCTCTCCTCTAAACAGTGTTCCCGGGCCGTATCGGTTCCTGGGTGGAATTTACTAAAGAACCTAACTGGGGTTCCACCAAGTCAACACCAGGGGGAGCTGCTGCCTCAGCGGTTACTCAGACTGAACGCAGCGAGAGGAGTGGGACAGCCTTCACTTCAACTCTACCTGAGGCAGGGACTCATCCCCCGGCCTCAGATTTGGGCCCCGTGTGGCCCCGGGGAGGCCGACTAGTGTCTGCCCCTCACAGGTTGGTCCTGGCTACTCACAGGACAGCCCCCTCACACACCCTGATGAGTTTATGGTTCTGCATTTAGACGCTTTTATCCAAAATGACTAACAACGTAGACACAATGTTCCATTTATCATACGTTCTCTGGACGAAAATCCCCAGTCAGAATCAGTGGAGACAGCAAAGAGAGAGAGGGAAGAACAGAAAGAGGAGTAGAGGGTCCAGAGGTCTGGAGGAGGAGTTAGGATAGGAGTTGCTCTGTGGAGAGGGGGGTCTGGAGGAGTTTATGAAGACAGACAGACAGCTCTCCATTTACCGGCCCAGGAGGACCAGCTCTGGACATACCTGTTCTGCTTATTGAGCCGGCCCTGCAGCACCAGCTTCTCAAAGTAGACGAAGGACATTGCGATGGTCACCGGCTGCAAACCGCAGTCCTCCCCGAACGTCCTCATCTCTCTCTTCAGGCTGCAACACAGAAGCAGCAGGCCACAGAGTTTTCTAGTGCTCCTCACCACGCAAGCAGCTTTTGGAGAAAGTCCAGTTCATGGAATTCGAGTTGGTCACCTGCGGATTTTGCTGAGTGTGAGTTTAACGTGGGGGAATTTCTCCTTAAAGGTCTCGTTCATGTCTTTCTTCAGATCGGACGGTTTGACATATTCTATGACTGTTGTCTGGGGGGGGCGAGGTAGGAGAAAGAGAAAAGGGTCAAAATGAAGAAATCGGAGCAGAAATAGCAAAGACGTGAGAATGGGAAGTAGGATCTGACCAAAATCAGATCCTAGCAAAGAGCGTTTCACCCAGCACCCCCTGTGGTCTCACCATGTAGGAGGCGAAGATCAGCACCCGCTTGTGCTTCCCGCAAGGCCACTGGGGGTCACTCAGGAGGTTGGGGTCGTACTCTGTCACCTCTTCCACACCTGGAGCACAGACACAAACAGTGAGCCCTGCACACACACAGCCACACACACACACACAGGTCTGCGGCTGGCAGAAGGCACACACACACACACACAGGCGAGGGTGTCTAACTCTGAGTTCCTGCTCAGTAGCACACAGTAGTCAGTAGTCACACAGTTGAGATGTTGAGTGTTACATGAACATAACAGGCGGATACTGGAAGAAGTTTAGTGAACTCAGGATCACGCATGCACTTGTAGTTCTATCCACTTCAAAATTATAAATAAAAACTAGAAATATCTAAGTTTGGCCTCTCATCTGTGAGATTTATGAGCAATAGATCGAATGATTTTGGGTGAATGTCCGCCGACAGTGATCGGTATCTGGAGAAAACAGTCTGACAGACAGGAAACAGGATTTGTGAGGATTCCCAAAGAGCTGCTGGCTGGAAACTGGGCAGATCTCAGCTGGAGAGCAGAGTCCTGAAAAAATCTGAGGAAACTGGACAAGTGGAGGGCAGAAGAAGAAGACTTGGGCCTAAAAAACTCTCTCCAGCAGATGAAGAGGGTCTGAAAGTGAGGTCCTTAAGAAAGGACAGAGAAAAGCAAACAAAGTCTGTCCATGATGCATTTAGCTTTTTCAGAGATAAGTACAAAGAAAGGAGGAGTGGGCTGGGCCAAAGCTAGAAAGCTAGAACCTGACTACTGTGAGAGACGAGCTGAAGACCTAACATCGCTGTGCACCTGCGCTGTTGTGGGTTGGAGACTAATACGAGGCTCCATCTTCAAACAGGGACACACTGACGGTGGGGGGGGGGGCTGTAACACATACATCTGCCTTTAAAGGCTGATGCTGTCTCCACTTTCCATCCGTCCCTCCCGCCAGTCTTTGTTTTTCCTCCCCTTCATCATTCTGCCGTTCCAATCCCTCTTTTAACTCCTTGATCAACTCTTTGCTATTCGTCGAAATCCACGTCTGCCTTTTAATGCCCTGACATCTCTCGATGTGTTTCAGCTTCAGGGTCTCCGCTGAACCATCGACAGACTAAAGGAGAAAGCAAAGGCTCCAGTCTTGCTTTGATCACCTAGTTTCATACGGGCAAACCGTAAGAAAAAAAGCTCTCGGAGTCAGTTTGCCTTATATGACTAACACCGTTCAAAAAGTCACATGACAGTCCATCATGTGACAGAGAATGACATCATCACCAGCATGCCGGTGAGATAAAACCAGATCCCAGATGCCAGCGTAGAGGTTTAAATAAGGACCCCGCTTCCAGGCCTGGCTTCCCTGAGCAGGGTTAGGGAGTGTGTGTGTGTGTGTGCGTGTGTGTGTGTGTGCGTGCGCTGTACCCAAGTCCAGCCCCACAGTGCTGTTGAGCCGACTGGGAGGGAAGCTCCTGCCCGGCATGCTGTGCGTGCTCCTGGACACGGGGATCTGCAGCGTCAGCTCACTGGTGGAGGACGGCTTCTGCCTGACCAGCGCGTTGGTGGGGTAGAGGAACTGCGCGTAGGACACCGACTGACACAGGAGAGACAGGGAGGGGGGAGGTGATTGAACTGTCGAGGCCGTGGCCACAGAAGGGGTCATCCCGGGGGATGCCTACCCTGCCGTAAATGTCCAGCTGGAAGCCTTCCAGTCCCGGCAGCATCTCCAGGGTGGTGGAGATGTTTCCAGAGGAGTGTCTCCTCCGGGGGTGGTTCAGTGTGGGGTCACTAAGACAGAGGGAGAGCGTGAGGAAGGGCTCACAAACACAGCCTCTGAGTGGAAACCTGCTTCCCCGTCCACAGTGTCTGCAGGTGCGTGTGCAGGTGTGTGGGACGGAAGCAGCACGCGCATTTTTTTGTGTGCTCCTTATTTGTGTGCTGCCTCTTGTGTGGCGTGATGATGTGCAGGCCCAGAACTGAAGCCGGCGGGCAGAAACAGTAGGGAAGGGGCTTAGTTTACATAAGCGTCACTCTTAGTGGGAATCAGTCAGGATGTTTAGGAGTGATTATTCCGGGAGTTTTTATGAGTCACCAGCAGGACTTAAGGTTAAAGCCAGAGGCTCTGAGGATCATGGGAAATTCAGCCACAGCCTGACCTCCTTTCTGTTCCCTCCAACCAGACAGTGCCTCCTCTTCCACTTCCTCCTTTTCCTCTCCTTCCTTTCTCTCTTCACTCTGTGACCCCCACCCGCCCCCACCCCAAAGACATTCCTTTTGACACCGAGGCAGAAAGCGTGCGTGTGTGTGTGTGAGAGGAGTGTGGAAGTGTGCGTTTGCTTACCTGAGGTAGAAGCTCTCTCCGTACGGTAAAACCGAGAAGGCAGCGCACAGGGACCTCTTAGCGCATATGAGAACGATTCTGAAACAGTCAAACACACAGCACCACTCTCAGTAAATCGACACATCAGTCGTCTGCCAAGCGGGCCTTAGAAAATGGGGGATTGCTTCAGTGTTGGTCCACAAGTGAGAGCTGGCCTTAATCTGAAATGAGAGGGTTAAACCATCCAGCGTGTATTGTTTAAAGTACACACTTTGGAGCGTGTTTACTACGTGCTTCTTCACACGTGTGTTGATTTAAACCTCCCAGAACAGAACGCCTGTGTTTTCTTATGGCTCCTCTGGAGTATAAACCCACAGGGAGCCGGGCCTGCAGCTCAGCTCGCCTGCTTTCTGTCTCAGGACAACAATATTTACGCTCATTATCTCAGGCTGCTGCCACAAAGAGAGTGGAACATGATTACAAACACTGAGCCCACAGCTGAAACACAATAGTTCAATATTATCTACTGAGACTGATGGCTATCACCGCGTCTCCCTGGAACAGAGAAGCCCCTCAAGCACCAGAAAAAAAGGAAGGAAAGACTGGAAAGTAGCCAAAGCAGCCCCAGAGTTATCCAATATTAACAACATTGTTTATTTAGATTCCAATTGAAAGTGTATTTGGATTATGGCGTTAAAATACTTAGATGTATGCTTAAAACGTTACAAATCAACTAATTGTGTACTCGGAGACACATCCAATCCCGCTGGAAAACGGGCTCACAGCCAGCAGTTCAACCTGGGGGATGTGCAGATGTTTCCAGGATCTTCCTCCTTTCCTGTTCCCTTTCTGTCTGCAGGCTCTGTCTGCCCACATCGTCCTAGAGCCCAGCAGAGAGACGACAGAGCCAGATTCCTGCTGCTTTCCCCATCAGCGCTCTGACACTGAGCTCACATTCCCCATGATGATCAAGGGGAGAGTGGAAGGAACCTGCTAAACCCCTGGGGTATTTCTGGGGTCCCTGCTCGTAAATCCCCCACATGATTATTTCTCAGTAATTCCAAACTCTGTATGAACCATCTTGGTTCTTCTTGGCCACTGTGGAATTAGCAGAAAGCGCTAATGTTCTTGAGCTACTTCTAACGCCCTCGTCCATTCAAAGCTCACTGTGGCTGAAAAGAAGTTGGAATGTATGATAGAGCCTGTAATCCATTAGAAAGGGTCAAAACCAAGAACTAAAGGAACCATAGAGATACACACCCTAGTTCTCTCAGAAGTCAAAGAGAAAGTGACGGCAGCATAAACAGCATATTGCTACCAAATCTCTTCCATTCATCTCATGAAACAGATGAGTTTGAATTTGGTGCTGATGCCGTGTGTGCGCACGCGCATAAAGACACACAAATGCACACGCTGTGTGTTCCCCATCATGCATGGGAAATTCAGGAGCATGAAGTCACCAGGGAGCTGAGTGGAAACTGCAGAAGGATCCCATCAGGACTGCTGTAAACAGGAGCCAGTTAGGGGGGAATGCACAGTCATCCATTTATCAGGACATGTTTCATAACACTGGGGACACATTATTCTATTATTACCCACAGGAAAAAACAGAAAGGTCCCTCTGAGAGGGCAGCCCGTAAACTGGAGGTTTCTAAAAAGATCTCATGAAAGAAGAGGAAAAATAGCACTATCCCTTAATGCGTGATTGGAGGGGAATGAGTGAATACAGAATCTGCCAAACAAAGCCCAGTTCCAGAGTTTCACAGGTTGACTGAGGTTTGCAGCACTGGTTCCACCAGTCAATGCTTCAGGTTGGCCTTTAGTGAGTGGAAACTCATCTCTGTGACAAGAAGGTGGCTGAGTGACAAATGGCTCTGGTGCTCTCAACTGGATCTATTTTAAAATAACCCCCCTTCCCCAGTCAGCTATTGTCTGGGGGGTGGTTCTGGGTTTCCTTTTATCCAGAGGTGTCATTCGTACACTCTGTGAGGGAGGACGACAGCATACAACAGAGGAGGAGCCATCGGTCCGGGCCGGCCGAGCTGAGCCCGGCGGAGCAGCTGCTCTCTGCTGTGTGGGTAAAGGTCAGTGGTACTGGACTGAGCTGTGAAAGGGGGTCATGACCTCAGGCACATGTGACAGGACTGTGCACCAGGTTAAGTTGCTAAGACAGACAGGACTTTGAGAACATGGACATGTCCTCTAGAGCTACACCAACAGGTGGTGGGAGGGTCCCAGCTGGACCTCATGCCCTCCAACATCTGCCCCGGAGACCGGAGGTCCAAGCCGGCTGTCCTGACCCCGCTGGCTTCTCCTGCTGTCCAGTAAGCTCAGACGCTGTGGACAGGAAGGATCGACACGTCCACATCTGGATGTCCTCTGGGTTGGTGGACTGCTTTACCTCCAAACTGTACGCGGGGGGGCAGACATGCACACGCAAGCACCACAAAAAAGAACATCCTCACAACAGACCCACCTGCTGCCTCTGGTGTCGTACTGTTTCATGTTTTTGATGAAGTGGATCTTCTTGGCTTGCCGCGGTCTGGGAGACCCCCCCGAGAGGTTACGGGTCCTGCAGGAGGAAGAAGCAGAGAGAGCCTGTATCAGCCACAAGACCCACTACCATACACAACGGACAACGGTGTTGTTGTGTTTGACATTTTCTACCCAGCAGGTCTCTGTGAAAACCCATTTCTAAAACCTTTTCTGCTTCTGGTTTGGATGCCAGAGTCCCGCTGGCAATTCCCACATTTGTCATATCTCTTCTGATGTCTAACCAAGGCAACCAAACAGTTGTGAACCTGTTGGAGCAGCCAAGTGGGCTTTGCAAGGTCGAAGTAGGCCTGGATCGGGACCCAGTAAGATACGTTAAGCAGGGGGTGTCTGCTATCTCATCATGACGAATGGAGAAAAAGAGAAGGCAGTTTAAAGCATGTGGTCCCTGATCATCACGGGAAACGTGAGCTCAGTTTCAGAGAAAAGTAACACAATTGTGATATCAGGGAGGTGTTGTTTTTCTTTAGGCATGTCTGCAGGAACAGCTCTAGCACCCCTCATCTCAGCTCAAAAGTGGAGGATCACTGGTTAGCAACACATCAGGAGCCCCTCGGATGGCAAGCCTTCTGCTACAGTGGAACTTTCTGAAAGCTGCCAGCTCATCTGTGTTCTGTGTGGCTGTCCTGTAACAATACTGTGCTGTAACTCCATTTTCAGTTTACTTATATTCATAAATCTTTGTATTTTTTGAGGAGTACCGTGTGAACAGAGCAGTTGTCATCACGCGACATGAAAATGGGATATTTCTGAGGTGCTTGCTTGAATCTTCCACTTGTAGTTTTTGACTTGCCACACGGGACTTTTGAGAACCGCAAACACGAAGCACTTTGATAAGTAAAGCTGCAGCGTTTAAATAACAGAAGCGATTTAAATAATTTCCCCTCTGTGATTATTAAAGTATTTCTGATTCTGATTCTCTGCAGAGAGAAAAATGAGTCAGTGTCTACGGCCAGGGATGGTGGGTCAAACTGAGGAGGATCACAACCCAAACAGCCCTTTTATCCTTTTGGTTATCTGATCACCACATTTAAAAACCATGATATCGAGTCGTAAAAGAGAGACAGAAAAGACAGATAATCAGCGCGTGGTGCAAACAGCAGGAGGCCGCTAGCCTGTGAGAGGGGCAGGACTCTGAGGCATGCATGCATGCGTTTAGCTCCCACACGGTGATGCTGGAGCTGGGTTGTGCTCTGAAGGTCAGGCCGTGGGGCTGAGTTGATCTCGTGGATTTAGACGACAGACCTCATCATGAAGGCCGGCCAAGGATCTCAGCTCAATGACATCACCACGGTTATGCAATGAAAGCGATATTAGCATTAGTTTATCTCTCTCTCTCTCTCTGAAACACACACACACACAGCATCTGCACAAATGCTGACAGTCTGTGATACAGTCTTTAACCCACATCCAGCACATGGACACACACACACACACACACACACACGTTAAGCCTGCAGCTCTTTGCAGATTTCTGCAAACACGTGTGTGAATGTGAAACCATCTGAACCGGCGTTTTGACCGTGTCCTTGTCAGCCAGTCGACCAACACAACAACAATAGGAATACAACATTTGTATCCGTTTCAATTTGATGCAGGTGCCTAAAATAATGCGCTGTTCTCTTCTGGACACGCCCCCCAAAAGAGAACAATGGCCATCACCAAAACTTGCCTGTGTCAGGAAGTGGATCGGGGTTCTGAAATCAAGCCTCCAGCAGGAATCTTTGAATATCATTTAAATTCCATTTGAATGGTGTCACTCTTATTGAGGGACGTGAAAGTGAGCTCGCCTGTGCACGTTTAAGCACAAACACAGACTGAAGTGCTCATAAGATTTGAGCTGTGCTGACATTTAGTTTTGTGCACTAATATCAACAGTGAACCAACCCTGAACCCCCCCCCCCAGTCATGTTTGGCATCAGATTGCAAAGAACAGATTAACAGTAATAAACAAGTCATCAAAGGTTGGCCGTCGAGGGAGATGTTATGATAGAAAAGCTCATTTGTTTGGCATAGCTTTGGCTTTCTACCTGGCTTTAATACTTCATGTTCTACTAGTTCTGGTCTGGCTCTGCTCCTCACTGGCCATTATGCCAAACTGGGCGCAGAAAAACACAGAAAAAAGGCCCTGCGGGGAACATTTTGATGGAATTACTGTTGTAGAAAATGTCTCTTTTTTCCCCTTTTTGGCAACATCTTAATATGAATGCCGAAAAATGGACTCAGTCAAAGCAGATCCGAAACAGGCTGGCTCACACACACACACACACACACACACACACACACACACACACCCACGTGCGCGTATATAGCATGCGTTAGTGTTTTTGCTCTGGCTGACCGGCTGTAAATCACCGTTCCCACCGCTGACCGACTCCCCGATGGGGGCCGTGCTGGGCGGTGACAACACTGGGCTGGGAAGATGTTTTTCCGTGTCTCAGTCACATGGGATTTAGGGCTCTGATGGGATTTTGTCCTCTGCATTTATCAGCCAGCATCCCAGAGATCTCATCTAAACATAATCCAAACTGTTTCTCTGTCAGTCTGCTGGACAGCGGCGTGGAAACAGTTCATACCCATTTACATCAAGCACGTGGAGGGCAGAGACCCTCCCCCGAACCCCCCAGCCGTCAGGCCAGGGCCCCTCAGCAATCTGCACCCCACAGCTCCAGGAGGAGACCAAAGCCTCAGAGACCCCCGGAACCGGCCAGCTGACCCCAGCCCAGGAGCAGGCCTGTCCCAGCGGCCGTCCAGAAGGGGGGGGACACCCAGGCCGAGACCCGCCGACTGACCAGTTGTAGTTATGTGGCTGCTCAGCCCCTGTGCCCGTCCCTACCGGGGCCCAGCAGCCATGAGCACCACGGCCCTGACGCACCATGATGGAATACCATCGGCATTCCACTTTGTGGGAACGTGCTCGGGTCTGGAATGTTCCCACTGTGTGGGAATGGACCGAGTGGCAGTGGGATGTGGGACGTCCGAACACCACCATCTCTTAACGGGGTGGGGTTTTCTGCAAGCAAACGCTCCCCCCCCGTCACAGCCATGAACACCAGCGCTCCTACATCTGGATCCTTATCACAACGTTCTGACCTCCGTCCCTTTTCCACGAGAGCCCATGACTCTGGGATGTGGTGGAAACTTCCCGTTGTGTGGGAACGGAAAATCCAGTTCTGTGTTCCCCCACTGCTGCTGACCACTGTCCACCCAGAGACTCATGACCTGCATGCTGACCTGCACATAAAGATACAAACTTACCCACTTACAAAGAATGCAACGATCTATAACTTTAATCATACGTACATTCTAACAGTGAAAGACAGAATCCCAAAGAAAATTCCAGAAAATCACAGCATATGAATTTATAAAAATTGATAACCATCTGATGAGGAAAAATAAGCATTCTTTGTAAGTGGGCAAACCTGCAAAATCAGCAAGGGGTCAAATACTTATTTCCCCCACTGTATATGCTGATAATCATCAACTCTGCACTGCAGGACTTCACATAGCTAAAGACTGAAGACCCCCTTCTATGTTACTTCTGTGGTCCATTCTGTCTGGATCACTGCTTCATAAGCAGCCGGCACACACAGACTTGGGAGAAACAGACGATTCCTGCCCACAGCATTAATCCCCGTCGTAACCACGGTCAGGGAGAGCAATAAGCTCACCATCAGACCAAATCAGAGCCCGACATCTGCTCGCATCCTGAAAAAAAACAAAAAAACAAAAAACTAATCCTAGCCCAGACCTTTGGACACGGCTCTTTTAAATGGGTGGTATTAAATGGGTGATGCTAGGAGACGCAAACAGTAACGCTCAAATGAAGGTTTGAATCTGGATTGTTGGTAATTGTTGGTACAGTTTCTCTCCATGCAGCCTGAAGTGAGACGCTGCATCCTGATTAGAGCTTCCACACAGAGATGCTGGCGCTGAGGGGCCCTGTTATCTGAGGGGATGTGCTGATGGCGTCGACTGAGCACAACGCCACTAATAATAGTGCCCGGAGATCTCAAAATACACCACTGTGTCAGGACTCTGCCCCGGGAAGGACGTCAAAATGATCATTGTTGGATATTTTTAATTCGGCCCCTTTTCAGCTGGACCCATTCCGTCTTTATTTTTCCACTTCCTGTTTTTCTCTCACGCCCCTTTCCCTTTCTGGAGCACATCTGTCGCTCTACTGTTCAAAAGCGGCTACGCGCACGTTTCAGTCTGCGTCGGCGGGCCTTTCCAGTCCAGTCCAGTCCAGTCCTCCTGGACCGGGCCGAGCCTCTGTCACAGCTCTGGAAGAGAAGCGTCCAATTGTCCAGGAAGTCTGCACACGCGGTAATCTTCTCATCTAAAGCACAGCCACGCTTAGCCTCTCACTGCCCCGGCTGTCCCTCCTCTGGAACATACCTGCTTCCATTCCACCATTATTAGTGAGGTCTCACGGTGCCCTCATATCTGCTCCCCTCACTTTGAGATACTCTCCTCAGACAATATGAAACCGATACAGGCCTACATCCCGCAGATGATGTCAGATATTTCTGTCTTGTAGCAACAGAAATGTAGTCTTAATCTTGTTTTTTTTTTGTCCCGGAGGGCCAAAAATAGCCGCTTCTGTCTTATCTTGATGAGCAGAGAGCCGTTTTGTGCAGCTTCACTGATCAGAAGCAGAGCAGTTCAGCATAGAGCCCAAACTGCTCACAGTCCCCTGGTTCCACCAATCCGGTGAGCAGGAACTGACTTATCATTCGTTTCCTCTCTCTGTGTATACGGCCTTGTTCTGAGATAAAGGACAATTTGCTGCTTTTTACTGCGTCATCCTGCAACTCACACCGCGGCATCTCTTCTCTTCCTCTTCCTCTTCTGGGAAACGACATGAGGAAACCTGCAGCGGCTCCATTGTTTCTGTGGGAACGCAGTGAGTTCAGGGAGCAATCACAGACCATAAGCGCCTTCTTTAATTCACCTATATCTATTCTCAGGAAATGAGAATAGAATTTATGAATTTACGATGTCATATAATTGAGCAAATTGCTCGATGCTCAAAGTGATGAGAGGGTTTGGTAAACTGGGAGCGAGGAGAGAGCTGCAGCATCAAATTTCTCCCTCACAGATTATACTATGGTCACATGTTACTCTGTAACAGAAACGTGCACGTGGAGAAGAAGGGAAACTCAACCTGGAACCTCAAACTCCTTCAAAACATGCTGTTTGGTGGCTGGATGAGGGGATTTCCATTCAGCTGGGGCTCCTGACCAGTCCATTTTCAGCCACCGTGTCCATCTTTGACTTTGACTAGCCACGTTTCAGGAGCCAAAGACTGCTGTGAACTGAGAGACGTGGTTATTACGTCAGATATGGTAACTGTCCGGTTAACTGAGCCTTTTTCTAATCACATAACATCACTACTCTGGACACCAACCGCTGGATTGCGTCAGTGGTGGCTGGATGAGGGCCAGGTCTGGCCCACACGTCCAAAATCAGGAGAACATCACATCGTTTGCCGCTCAACAACTGACCGCTTGTGGACAAAGTAGCGCGCGCGTCTGACCACAGTTAGGAGTTCTGGGGGGTGGGGGGGGGCTGACACGCTGCCAGCAGGATGCGCCAGCAGGTGCGTCCACCGGCACTCTAACGGGCACGCGCCCGCAGAACGAGTCCCGGCATCATTCACGGCGGGAACTCTTCACCAGACACGTGCCCGTGTTGTCAGTTTGTGGCTTTTAACCATCCGCCGGTTCACTTCCTGCCAACCAAAACCAATCAAGCAGCAAAGCCCCTCCAGCCGGCGGCTCGAAAACCTGTTTTCCATCAGAGGCAAATGCAGCTGCGCTCACGTGACCGCGGTTCGAGGGCTTAAAAACAACAGCTGGATTCTCTGCCCCCACGCGCTCGGACGCAAAAACAACGGCGCCCTAAAAACCGAAGGGATGCGGTCGGTCTAAAAACCAGCAGAGAGCCCAGTAAAGCGGAGGGGCATCTTTTGTCTGCTTCTAAGTTAGTGAAGAGGCTCGGAAATGCACCTGAAAGCAGCATAGGTCTGTCCCTAAGAGCCAGCCCTGACCTTG